AAAGGCAATTCTCAAGCCCGACACGTCCTTCCGAACGCTGTGTAACAATCCTAGCTTCCACTGCTCCTCGGGCTAAATAGTAATATCACCTGGAACCCATTCCATGGGTTGGACAGCTCCAGGTTCTCCTCCGTGGTCTACTATATACGACAAGGTCGTTGCTGGTTCGTTCCCTCTGGCCGCGCGTGTACCCATCGCCCATTATCTCTCCCCCTGACCCTTCTGCCTCCGTTTACGTGTTACGCGAAATAGACGAGCGCGATTAGAAGATGCCGGGGTGTGCTGTGTGTGGTGCTCGATCGGACGTGGAAGATCTTCTCTCTCTCTCTCTCTCTCTCTTTCTCTTGGTCTGTGTGTTCCAGTGGTCGAGAAAGAATTAATGGTCGTTCGTGCCACGGGACAATACGGAGGGATGGAGGGTGAAAGGGGGGGGGGCACGCTACCGAGGGGGAATCGTCCAAGGGGCGCCCCTTAACTCGATACCAGAAGGAAATTCTCGAGAGGATAAACGGTGGGCCGACGCGAACCGACGCGAGCCTCCCGGAAGACGATCGATGCTAATGGCCCGTGCCAGACCAGACGGCCTGCCCAGTCCTTTGAATATGTATCGACGCGTGCTCTACCTTCGGTCTCTGCCTTCGTCGTCGTCGTTCCGCCTTTCTATTTTCACCTTTCGACACCGGAGCACCGGATCGGAGCACTGCACCGGAGAGAATACGCTTCTCCCTCTATCTCTCTCTCTCTCTCTCTCTGTCTTTCTTAGCCATTATCTATCGGAATGCACGCGCTTTTCTCGCGATCCACTCGGCGACTGGGAGAGGTCGAAAGGCGACACGAGGCGACGAGAGAGAACGCCGCCAGCAGCCATCGAATCCGATTACGAGCGGTTAGCATTCGGCGCCGGATCGAATTAGCTCGATTTGTAAGCGAGCGAGTGTGTTGGACGTTCGTCGACGAGTCGAATTGGCGAAACGAGAGAGACGAGTTTGGCATCGAGGAGACCAGAGGAATCGATGCGCGGCAATTATAACCCGTGACGTCGTCCCTTTCTCCACTCTTCGTCGCTCTATTTCTCCCCTTCTCTCTCTCTCTCTCTCTCTCTCTCTCTTTCTTCATTTCCATATCCATTCTTTCATCTTCTTCCTTCTTCCTGTCCAGTGTCTCTCCGGACACAGCGATGGAAAACGGATCATTGACTTTCGGCTCTCCCCTCCTCGTTCTCACGATACACCAAAAATACACGTAGAGATACGCGTAGCACCACCAGCAGGGACGAATAAAGTCGATATCTGGCGTTACGTAGTTTGGGCCAACGACCGGGCAACGAGGTCGCGATCTCCCAAGTCGTCCGCGAGATCTTCCCTTCCTTTTAAAGTATTCCACTGACCCGACCTTAAAAACGAACGGATTCCACGATTCCTCGTACTCGGCCGAGCACGAAGGAACTGTTAGGCGGCTAGTTACCCCTCCCCTCCCCCTCCCCCCCCGATCGTGGATGCCGTCAATCCACGTCGAACGTCCTTCCATTTCTCCCGACCCGAAGCTTTTATTAAAATTATTATAATATCGCGCAAGCAGCCCTAATAAATTCTTGAGTTTCGATCGAAATTGAATCTCCAGTTGATCGATATTCCGCCCGTGGCTTCTGTCCCACCACCCAATAGGTACCTTTAATTAACTTCTTCGCTGGGAAGGAAGATTCTCTCCTCTCTCTCTCTCTCTCTCATCGATTGTCTCTTGTATTCGGCCGTCTTCGTGTTTTCACGTTGTCTCTCCTCCCTTGCGACGACATAAATCTCAATCAGAGATCGCGGTTTTAACTATACGCTCAATGGTATAAGTTTTAGTATAAATCTTTATAGCTTATAGGGAATGATCCAGAAACTAGAGACTTTTAGTTTTCGTCGTGGCCTGTCTGCTCGTCCATTTTTATCTACGCGAATCACCTAGCGAGACTGCTACGCTTTCTTGTATCATCTCTTTCCGCTTCGTTTTTCCCCCCTTCCGTGGCAGACACAGAGTGAGAGAATCATCGATACTCTTGAAAGTTTCGCGCGGTCGCCAAACGTTCGACGATCAGTTCCGCCGTCTTTCCGTAATTCCTTCCATTTCTCGCCGGGTATCCTGAATTATAAAATGTCGAGCAGGTCGCGCACCTGTGCTCGCGGAGAACCGCACTCGTATCGATTGGATCTCCGATCACAGCGCGGATACCTTTCGGCTGCCTGCCAATCCCTTTGGCACGCCAACCTCTCGATTATCGTGAGTGAAACGTCATCGGGCGAGATACGATTCTCACAGAAAAAGAGAGAGACAGAGACACAGACACAGAAAGAGAGAGAGAGAGAGAGAGAGAGACCTAGAGATTTTCTTCTCTGGAAGGTCCGATGTTGCGACAGCTTCGCGATCCTTACTTGCTGCAGTTGTTCGAGAATAAAGAAGCGGAGGATCATTGGTGAGTGACTTCTTTGCATCCTGTCGTTGTAGAATTCCTCAAGTTCAAGTTCAACTCAACTGTAACTTTGAGTTGACTTAACTTAACTTGTCAACTTGAGTTTAAGTTAAAAATCAAAACTCGGGGAGATTTGGTACATTCTTCATCGTCGCAAGTCACTGTAGACTTTCTCGTCTCGAGTCTGAATATTTTAAGGCTCTCCTTAAACGTGTCACACACGCGTGCGTGAAAACGGAGTTTGAAGCATAAAAGATTAAACTCCATTAAATCAACGGCCGCAAGATAATTATCCAGCAGTTCTTTTTGAAGGCAATGTAAGAAAACGTAAAGCTTGGAGCGCTCGAGCCGGTGTTATGTAGTACACCGGCGTTCGCCTTACACAAACAACTTCATTTAATTAATCGAAATAGATTCTCTGTCGAGGAAACAAGCATGCAAACAAAAGTACACTCTCAACCCTTGCTTGCTGGACGCTGTTTTAAACATTCCTTTTCTTTAGTCTTCCCTCTTTGAGTTGGACTTCCGTCCTTGGGAGCTTGGGACTTCCTGCTGGTAGAGGCGAAATGCCTGCACCGATATTGCCAACCTGATTAAACGCGGGAAATTTTGTGTGACGAAAATCCGAAAACAAAGCTCGTATATCTTTGAACGAGCAACGTGCGACTTCGACTCACGCTAGTAGTACAGATCGGTTTCAAGCCAGACAAAGAAACGCCGTGATGTTGAACTGGGCTCCACTACTTTCATTCATTGTCGTTCACTTTTCCTTAATTTCACGACAAAAGATTTCAATTGCCGACGGCAAGATATCAGGCTCTTTAGATTTATCTTCGTATCTCGTGTGATGATTCGTACACATTTGAAAAACTCAACGTGTCTCAGTAATAATGCACGTTGCAGCCAATATTTTCTTTCTTTCCTCTTTGTTTTCACACGCTTCGTGCAACTTTGTCGGCGTGACTCGATGGGAAATTCGTACTTTTACAAGGCGCAGCTATAGAAACGGGACTTGAATGGATTTGTCCACTTTGCTCATTGAATAATTCAACAAAAATTTCAGCTTCCATATTTAATGGGCTGTTGCATATCGCGCGGCATTCGCACTCATAAATTTTCTACAGATATGCGCAGTAATAAATAAATAACAATAATATTTGCAGCTTAATTATCACCGAGCTCCCTCTCAGCATTCATTTTGATGGCCTCCGTCATAATAATGTATCGTATGATGACTTTCAAATCGTTGAATTTTATCGCTGATTAAGCACAATTTAACAAACATTACCAAATTAACGCAAACTGTACGTCGCAGATGAAACTT